CACAGCTCTCTAGAGTTTATCACTCTCTTGCAGTTACATTCTCGTAGGGCTCTCACAGCAATCGAAGCTGCAGGAATTACTCTCTTCTGATGGAGAGGAAATTGAGCCAGAGGGGTCAAGTGAACTGCCTAAGGCTCAAAGCTAGTAAAGCCAGAAAGGAGGCGAGAACAGAGAACTCTCCCAGCTTTCCACCACACCCAGAGATGATGCTGACCACTGTGTTTCCTCCATGAAAATCCCCTTTTAGAGCAGATGTTTTGTAGTGAAAATGAAAGGAGGATGACGGGGTGGGTAAGCCTTTATCACTGCTCCTGCTACAATAAAACACAATACAAAGGCCTGATTAGAAGAGCTGAGAAGCTGTGAACAAAGGCTAAGTAAAAAAAAAAAGGCTTTCAGCAGTCAGGGTCCCTTGTCTCTTTACCTACTCTGGCCAACCCTTCAGAGAAACTCCTGGCCACAACCATCTCAGCCTGCCAGAGAGAACGTGGCTTATATTTGTGGGTTTCCAAGGAGACAGTTAAGATTTCACTGGAAAGGTAAGAAGCTTCTCCTTCTGGCATGAGGCAGGAGAGAGGCGAGACTACAGGTGTGAAACATACTCGATGCCCAGGTCCACTTCGGGGATGCCGCTCAGCATCTGGTTGGAAAGCATCTCCTCAGTCTTCTTGGCTGAGGAAACCCGGATGTTTTCTGGCAGTTCGTAAAGGCAGTCCTCGGCATTCTTCGGCTTGACTTTCTGTTCCTCGTGTTCCACGATCCCTTTCCTCTTCTTCAGCTCTGTCTCAATGTACTTCATCCTAAAATGAGAAACCCACAGGGGCAGCAAAGCTCACAACAAGTGTCTTTTAAATTAGTGGTCTCTAACACCGGCCCACGGAGCAGTGATGGTCCATGATGAAGGTGTCACTGTTCCATGGAGTGGTGAGAAAAATAAAAATAACTCGAATTTTTTAAATCAAGATAAAAGTTTTCAACTTAAAGCACCAACCTATATTATGAGATTATGTCCCACCACATCATATGTGAGGTTCTTTGAAGATAAAAAGATAATAGTAGATGGCGGCTGTTAGTTTATCAACCTTGCTGGCAAAATAAAAAAATGGGCAAGTCCAATGTTTGTCCCTGCGATCTGGGGGGGTTGGGTGGGGATTACAAGGAATCTAAAATCCCAAGACCCTTGCTTTTAAAGAATTTTTAAAAGTTCTTTTTAAAGTTTTAAAAGTAAAAAGCACCTCTACAAAAAGCGTCCACCCACATCACTCTAAGCTAAGTTTTGTAATGCCAGTTACAGCAACATGGATGGACCTGGAGATCATCATTCTAAGTGAAGTAAGCCAGAAAGAGAAAGAAAATACCATATGAAATCACTTATACGTGGAATCAAAATAAAAAAGACACAAATGAACTTATTTACAAAACAGAAAGTTTTTCAAAGTTCTCAAGCCTGGGAGGCCATGCAGGAGGGGTCAACTTTGCTGTCTTTGGATAATTCTAGAAATGTCACCTGTGATTAAACATCTTGGACTCCCTCTGGCTGGAGCCCACCCCCAACCACTTACTGCTAAACAGACTGACACCTACATGTCGGCATCCTCGTCCCTTCGGTTGGTTTCTGCAGAAAACGACGTCCCCAAATGGAGGTCTTCCTCCTCACTGATCCTAAAAAAAAAGCAAAGCCTTAAAGTCACAGCTAAAAGAGACTGAGTTTGATGTTATATCAATAAAACAAGGATGCCACAAAATGTGGCTATTTATGGCTGGAAAAAAATATGATAAGTAAAAAGAAGAAACTCTAGAAATATATGCAAGCAAACTGTTGGCCTCTGGAGATACCCTGGGGGAATGAGTAGATCCATTTATTTTGTCCATATTATTTTTGTAATTGTGTTTCTATGTTTTTTTTAAAAAAGAAAAACAACTTCCACATGAGTTTGAAAGACAGTAAACAATGCACCTTTACAAAAGGTGTCTTCCCATGTCAGTCTAAGCTAACTTTTGTAATGCCAGTTGCAGCAACATGGATGGACCTGGAGATCATCATTCTAAAGTGAAGTAAGGCAGAAAGAGAAAGAAAAATCCCATATGCTATTACTTATATGACATGGAGTCCAAAAACAAAAAGACGCAAATGAACATATTTATAAAACAGAAACAGACTCACAGACACAGAATATAAACTTATGGTTACCAGGGGGACTAAGGGGTGGGAAGGGATAAACTGGGAGTTACAGATTTGCAGATAATAACTACTACATACAAAACAGATAAACAACAAGGTTGTATTGCAGAGCACAGGGAACTATATTCAATATCTTGTAGTAACCTATAGTGAAAAAGAATATGAAAAGGAATACACGTATGTACACGTATGACTGAAACATTAAGCTGTACACCAGAAATTGACACAACCGTGTAAACTGACTATATTTCAATAAAATTTTTTAAAAATAAGCTAACTTTTGAAGTTTTTGTTTTCTTTTGTTTCTCAACAACATACCCTTTTTAAAGCACAAGAGGTACTTCAAGATGTCACACTAAAGCTGCTTTGGGCCCCAGCTCCCTGGGGGAACACAGACCCAAGGAGGGGCTGCAGGTGAATTTGCATCTCAGCCTCTTTTGCACTTACTTATCTTTGCCCCTTTCCTTTAGTTTCTTCATATCCACCATACCACCTGTCTTCATCTGAAAGGGATCATCCTGTAGGAAGCAAACGCAGCTGAGAGGAAGCATCTACATAACTGGCAGTGGAACTTTTTTTATTTTTTAAGAAAACACAATTGCCCACTGAAGAGCAGCCACATCTTCCCACTCTCCAGGGAGGACCCCACAACTCACCACTAGAGTGGTCTCTTCTTGTACCTTCTCTCCCACCAGTAGGGCGACAGCACTGACAAAAACCAAAAAGTTGGGGAGAGAGAGAGAAATGGCACAATTCAGAGATGAGGAGAAACATTTAGGGAGTCTGTAGGTTGGTTGCAACATTAGTGCAAGGGTGAGATCTGAGGGGTGGACATCAACGTCAGCTGGAAAGCCTATAAGAATAACAGGGTCTAATAAACACTCTAGATGCTGGAGGTGGAGGTAGTGGTGACTTAAGTAGTACACTTTTCTACAAAGTTTCTGGCAGTATCTTGGCTTAAAAAATCTCATTTCTAAGATTTTGCCTTCAAGGAAAATGAAGCTAAAAACAAACGTTGGAAAATACTATTGCAGCTTTGTTTGATCGTGAAATTTTACAAAATAACCTACAGGTTCCAAAATAGGGAATAAGTTAAATTATGGCATGTGTGTCAGATGGAATACTACACAGCTACTAAAAAGGTTTTCAGAAAAATAACCCACAATGTGGATGAATGTCCACAATGTCATGAGTTGAAAATACAGTAGTCCCCCCTTATCTTGTGCTTTCACTTTCCTGGTGTCAGTTACCTGCAGTCCAAAAATATTACATGGAAAATTCCAGAAATAAACAATTCATAAGTTTTAACTAATTAATTATTTTGTGTGTGTATGTGCGTTTTGGGGGGAGGGTTGGGGAGGTAAACAGGTTTACTTATCACTTTTAATGGAGGTACTGGGGATTGAACCCATGACCTTGAGCATGCTAAGTACGCGCTCTGCCACTGAGCTATACCCTCCCCTAACAATTCATAAGTTTTAAATTACCAGCTGTTCTGAGTAGCGAGATGAACCTCTACCATCCTTCCCAGTCCCACAGTGGAGGTGAATCACCCCTTCATCCTGAGTATCCACACTGTATACATTACCCACTCATCAGTATGGGGAAAAAATAGTCTATATAAAGTTTGGTATTATCCAGGCTTCAGGCATGCACTGGGGGTCTTGGAATACAGTCCCCGCGGATAAGGTGAGACTACTGAAGCATAGAATAAAAGTAAAGCTGCTCAGAGTCTTTACAAAAGAAAGAGAAAACAGACAGGAAAGAACGTTAAACGTTAATACTGGTTACCTCTGTGTGGGAAGATTACAGGTATTGCTTATTTTCTTGATTGTACTTTTCTAAATTTTCCCAAACTCTTAACAATCAGTATGCATTTCACAAGTAATCGGGTGCAGGAGAAACACGAATTAGTGACCTGTTTCTGTACCTCTGGAGCACACTTCAAGACCACGAGGCTCAGGGCACGTCCTGGTTAAAAATTTGCCAGAAACTCATGGACTGCTCTCCAGGCAGTGGAAAGTGGAAAGTGTGTGAAGAAAAGCGGCTCTATTTGAGGAGATATGTGTGACAGAGAATTGGGGCGGGAGAGTGGGTCGGGGGAGGGCAGGGGGAGATGCTGTCTCTGTCATCCCCGCCTCCCCCTCCAGGTCCCCTCCCTCACGCGGTACCCACCTCACCCCATTGGGCCTCTTCCTCAAGTTCTGCACCTCTCGGGTCTCTTCCAGTTTTAATCTAAAAAAAGACAACGCATAGGCTGAGAAACCCTCCGCGAAACTCAGTGTCAAAAGCCAGTTTCAATGGACACCGCAGTCCCACTGCCGAGCAGCCGTCACCCTGGTCCCGAGGGTGACCCTGCGCCTAGATACACCGGGAGTCAGATCCCCTGCGCATCCCAGGGGCACCTCTCCTAACCATGAGACCTTGGAGCGGCGGCCTCATCCCTTGGAGCCTCAATTTCTTCGTCCATAGCAAGTGTCAACGAGGCGCCTGGCCGATGGTGAGTCCCCCTAGCTTGCCTCTCTTTTCCTGCCCCGTCGAAGCCCCGCCCCAAACGCACCGAACCTCTTCTGAGTCCTGCTCATCTTCTTCCGACTCCGAGTCGGCCCGGCGCCTTCGGAAAGTCTTCCCGGTAACCGGCATAGTCTCACGAACGCCGCGGTCCAGCCGCCCTGTAGCTACGCCGATATCTTGCCTACTTCCGGCGCGCAGCAGTGAGGTCAGAGTGTCTGCCCGGCCCGGCCCCGCCCAAGCCCCGGCCCCGCCCACGGCCAGCACCGCCCATCTGACCACGCCCCCATCTACGGCATTGACCTCTCTCGATTGGGCGGCCGAGGGGGAGGAGGCGGGGCGTGGCCGGCCGGGCCGCACGACCCTGCGGCCGCGCAGCGGAGGGCGCGCTTGACTGACAGGCGGCGGTGGCGCGGTTGAGACGGCAGGTGAGTTCCGAGCCGCCGCCGGTTGCTTCAGGGGGCCCAGTCTCTCCGAGCAGGCGCGATCTCAGCCCAGCCTCGGGCAGGCGGGGGCCTGGCCCTGCCTGGTACGCAGAACGCCGCGGCCAGGTGAGCGGAGCCCGGGATCCCGCCGGCCGCCACCGCCCTGTCCTCTTCGGCCCGCACCCAGGGGATCCTCTCGGGCCCAGCACCCCACTTCGAGCCCTCAGGGGCTCGTTGCTTCTCCGGAACAGGGGCCACCATCTCTTATTTCTGCCAGGGCCTGACCCAGCGTTGAAAGCATGCATGTGGCGTCTCGGAGCGCTTTTATTTCCCCGGGGTCTGGGCCCTGACGTGCACTTTTTTCTTGAGGGACTGAAGATGACCACTTCTTAGCGGTGATGAATTAAAGTCCCAGACCCGCCTGCCCCGCTGATAATGGCTTCCAGCCACTTCTTCCTGAGGAGAGTCGTGTCTGGTGTTTTGAACCCACTGGGGAGGGTTTGGGGGCAGACGGTGCTTGGTGGCCGCTTCCCTGGACCTTCGGGGGCCTTGTTTTCGTCCTTTGTCACAAGGACTGTCGCTCTGGCCTCCGCCCTTTCGACCGGAGGATGCTGTGAGGATGAAGTCTGTTTGAAGAAGAGGCATCAACAAACGCTTAGGAAATAACTAAATGCGTAAATAATGACTTAGGAGACTTTTAGAAAGCCTTTATATAGTTTTCTTTGCAAGAACTACCCTTATTAAGTACTTACTGTGTTGCAGGCCCTGGACTTAGCGTTATGTCATTGAACTCATCCAACAGTTCTCTGAAGTAGATTCAGTTATTGCTTTTCGTTTTGCAAACGAGGACACCAAGGCTCAGAGGGGCAGTTGTGCCTCAGTTACAGAGCTGGGAGGTGGCAGGACCCAGTCACAGGCCTGCCTCTGCTGCACCTTGTGCACAGTACCTGGCACAGTGTGAGTTCAGTAAATGTTTACTGCAGCTGCTGTTGGTACAGCTCCCTGGCCGGGGGGGGGGGGGGCTGATGGAGACTGTTTTGGGTTCCCTCTTCTGAAAGACCATTCTGAAGCAGGGCAGCCTTTCTGGAATGCCTGACTTTTCTCTGGAACAGTCTCTGAGATTGTTGTTCTTTTCCTTGGACTAAGACAAATAGCAGACTCAGGACTTCTTGGAGCAACCGTTTGGCTTCGATGAAAAGCCTTATTTTAAAAGGCTCAAAGTCTTGATCTCTGCAGTCTGGTTCAGCCAAACCCAGACGCACATGGGAATCACCAGGCACCGTGTCCCTTTTGGTTGAAGGAGAGGCTCCTTGGGAATCACTGCAGGAACCCAGGGAGTGGATGTCTACAGCTCTCATGTTCTCAGAGTTGGCTCCGATTTTGCCCACCCAGCAGCCCTTCTACCAGGGGGTGTTGGACAGCACTAAGGAGAGGGCCACAGGGCCAAGGATGTCTCTAGATCCTCTTTCTCATCTGACATCCTGGAGAGGATTATCTGGTCCAGATGAGCTGTCCCCTCTGGGCAAGGCCAGAGTGCCCCCTGATAACCTCCAGGGCTGTGGCAGATCTGATTGACACTTGTTTAGCAAAAATAATGCTTAAAAGTGGTAGCTGTGCATCTGGAGGTTTGCGGCTGGGCTGCGGGGCTGCAGATCCCCTAAGCCCAGTCTTGCTGGGCCTTTTTGAGGGGCAGGGGATAAAACTGCTCAGAGGGAGCCTCCAGGAAACTTGGGCTGTCTTCAGTTCAGAGATATGTCATGTTTAAGTTTTGTTCGGGAGTTTGGTTCTTCAAGGAAACATCCAGATTTGGCTTCAGTTTGGGTTAGTGTGTTGTCCCAGGTGAAATGTGGGCTCGTCTCAGGTCTGGTGCGCATTAATGTCTAGGTAGATTTGGGATCCAGTAAAGTGATCGCAGTTCACAGCTTGGCCATCATAAGTATTCAATAAATGTCAGTTGGACTGGTTTACTTATTCAGCAGATATTTACTGAGCTTTCAGTATATGATGCAGGCACTGTTCTAGTTGCTTGAAATATGTCAGGAAGCAAAAGAGACTAAAGGCCCCTGATCTAGTGGACTTCGTGTTCTAATAACATGATAAATATGTAAAGTATGTTAGGAGGTGATGCTATGGAAATAGAAAAAAATAGAGCAAGGCAAGGGAGTCCGGAGTGGGAGGGAGAATTGAGTTGCAATTTTATATTGGTGTATTCTGGTTTGTGATTTGGTCGGTAACATGACAAACAAAGCAGTGGACTGCATTATAGGTTCTGAGTTCGAGTCCCAGTTCCACCAGCTTGCCATGTGAGTGCAGGCAGGAGCCTTCTTTTCTCTGAGCCAGTTTCCCCATCAGAGTCCCTGTTCTGCCATTTACTGGCTGTGTGACCTTGACGTGAACCTCTCTGATCCTCTCCTGCTTTGTGGTTTTAGGGGTCTTAGTCTGAGTTCCTGCTTATACTTGTACACTCCAGGGTTTATGACTTCTCAGTGACCAGGCCAGTCACTGCCTCCAGCCTGTTAACCCCCAGGGACTTTCAGCCAGGGGCAGTCACAAACCCATCCTCCCTCCAATTAACTGACTTTTGTGGACCCTGCAACAAAATGCAGTACCAGGTTTGGGGCTGTGAAGGGATGTTATCCTAACCTTAAGGAATTTAAGTTGAGCAGAAAAGTGCCCTGTGCGGGGGCAGGGTATAGCTCAGTAGTAGAGCGTATGCTTAGCATTCACAAGGTCATGGGTTTGATCCCCAGTACCTCCATTAAATATAAAAAGTAATGAATAAACCTAATTACCTCTCCCCCGCCAAAAAAAAACAAAAACAAAAATTTTTTTTAAAAGTGCTTTGTGAAGAGTGACTCAGAAGAGGCTTTTATGAGGGAGGGAGACCAGAGGATGCTACCTGTGGGGGTGGGGGTGTTGGGGTTTGAGGAGGTAAAGGTTGTCCCCACTCCAGGCTGGCTGGGGCTGGCTGGGAGGTGGTAGGGCCGACAGTTCAGAGCACTGACTTCAGGGCAGGCAGTCCTGGGTTTGAATCCTGGCTCATCTGCTCAGTAGCTGTGTGACCTCCAGATAGTTGCTTCACCTTTCTGAGCCTCAGTCTTTCCTCCTTTAGTGATGGAGATGGAGATGGATTTAGCTCTCAACGTTGCCTGTCCTCCAGGGTGGTTATGAGGATTTAGTGAGGTCAAGTAGTATCCATTACAGTCCCCAGGTCCATTTGGACAGGGGCGAGCAAGACTTGTCGAGAAAGGAGGGCTGAGGGTCCTGCTTTGAAAGTTAGAAGGATGGTGGACTCTTAGCAAATTAAGAGTGGTTAAAGGGAAAGATGGATTTGGGATTTAGGGAAAATGGAATTGCTTGGAAGTGGAATGGAGGGAAGGCAGGAGGGAGGGAAAGTGCACATGTTCTGAGAGGCAGAGGGGAGCGGGGAGGGGCGTGGGCACAGGAGTGTGGGTGTGGGGTGGCCAGTGTGGGAGGATCAGGGCAGGTGGCTGCTCTTGTGTTGGTGGGGGGCTTGGCAGCATCACCTTTCCCATCCTGAGGAACCAGGCTCCTAGCTGGGAGGCAGATATAGCCAGAGCCCCCAGGAAAATGATGAGTAATGGGTACCTGAGGCCTGGTCTCAGCAGCGGTGCCGGGCCCAGATGTGCTGCCTCACTGCCTGTGCTGCTGCGTGGGGTCGGGGTGGGTGGGGTCCACTTTCCCCATCGCTCGATGTGGGCACCAGGGAGGGGAGAGTGCCTGCCCTTCCGCAGAGCGAAGCATCTTGGAAGTCTCATCCGGGGCCTGCAGCAGGTGGGCCCTTTGCCAGACCTACCAGCCTGCCTCCTTTCCTCCTGCTTTCTCATCCCCAAGAGAGGAGGTGGGTCTGGTGGGTCAGGAGGGAGAGGTGCCCTGGGGTCGCTGTAGTGGAGGCACAACCCCTCTGGCTGGCGGGCACCTCATTGACTCCCAACAGCACAGTTGAGCCGCTGCTCTCAAGAGGGCCTGTTCTCAATGCAGTTCTCTCAGCAGCGCAGGCTTCTTGCCCTTTGTCTTTAGGAAATGCCTTCTGTGTGCACACCATTTATGTGCACCGAGGGAAGGGTGGGAAGGGCTGTGAAGGTGGACCCAACCTGGCTCACTTCCCAGTGCATCACCCCTTGCTGTGTGTTCTTGGGCCAGTGGCTTCCCACCTCAGCATCGTCCTTCCTCTGTGAGATGAGGAGCCGCCGTCCTTAGCGACGAGAGGGGCATTGTGCCTGGCTCAGAGTAGGCGCTCCTGGGTCCTGGGGCGCTGTTGTTGAGTTAAGGTTACCCTTTCCAAAAGACTTCTCCCTGCTCCCTCCTTAAGTGAGATAAAGGGGATCTTTTAAAAGTTTCTATCTTGAAAAAAATTAAACAGAAAAGTAACAAAATAATAAAATGAAATCCCATTTATACCCTTCACCTGTGTTCACCAATTATTAATATTTTTGCCCTGCTTACTCTTTCTGTATCCCCCTTGGGCATGTGACTTATGTCCCTCCCAATTTCAGTTTCCTGACCTATAAGACATGGCCAAGAAACAATTTATGGTACTGAGCATTTTTTGAACATTTTCCCTGTGCAGATAAACAAACTTTAAGCCACCCTGAAAGTCCACGTGATCAGAAGTCGTTATTGCTAAATCCTTCCTGTGCGTTGTCCCGCTTCACCCCCTCAGGCACCCTAGTTGCTGTCTGTGTCCTCATTTCCTGGATGAGGAAACTGAGGATTAGGTGATTTACCTAAAGACCCACACCTTGCAAGTGAGAAGAGCAAGGAGCTGAACCCAGGGCCAGCCATCTCTGATTCTATCTTCTGTAATTATAGTCCACTCCAGGGGTGATGTATGTGGAGCAACTGACATGTGGCGAGATCGCAGTGGAAGGAGGCTACCATTAGTAATGATAATGTCCCCAGTGGCTGCACACAGGTACCCGGGTGGTGAAACAGGAGCCCTGTGCCCCATGAGGACAGGACCCTTGCCTGGCTTGTTTCCC